GGCCAAGCAGTTCAAGCTTTGAACCGGGCTGTAGCTACAGCCACCCTCATATTCCAGTTGACATTGGAAGCATTAACCCCCCACTCACTTTCTGGACAACAGCCCTTATTTTATATTAGTTTTTATTTAATTTTCTTGTTGCTGTAACAAAAACTCTGACAGAAGCGACTTGAGGAAGAAAATGTTTGTTTTGGCTCCCAGCATGAGGGTTACGTCCATCAAGGCAGGGGGGGCAAGGCTGTAGGAGTGGGAGGCAGCTAATCTCATTGTGTCCCCAATCAGGAAGCAGAGGGAGATGAACCCTGGTACTCAGCTCACTTTTTCCTTTTTATGACATCCAGTCCCCACCCCACGGAAAGGCGCTGCCCACACAGTTACGGTCTTCCCACCTCGGTGAACCTAATCTAAGTAATCCTTCCCATCCTCGACTCCTATCTTGTCCTCTCCAACCACAAAACTAGTTCCAGCCAACTGATCTCCTTCTGGTTCTTCCAAAATGTTGTGTGAGTCGTGTCTTCTCTTCCACACACGATGGAAGAGATCACTCGTGGTGTTGAGATTCAGAGAGCAACACTCTCAAGGCTAGTGATTTCCCAGGAAGAGAAGTCTTTGGTGCTACAGGCCCACCATGGTTCTCCTGCTCCCAGCACCAGGACAGGCTTCCTGCAGGTCCCTATCTCCCCATCGAAGTCACAGCTGCCTTGTTTTCTTGCTGAAAGTTCATTAACCAGAAATACACAACACTCACTCCTATTAGAACATGTGTTGCTCCCCCCTAGAGAACAAGTCAACCCCCTGTGACCTGGCTCACCCTACCCTGCCAGGCCCTCCTCCAGAATGGCTTCCTGGCTCTCCTGGTAGGTCAAGTAACCCTCCTCTGCGGCCAGCACCCTCTGACAGCATTTTCCGTAGCTTGCCGGGGCCATCTATCCATCTGTCAGTCTCCCCTCGTACCTTCCAGATCCACAGAGGGAAAAGACAGAATGCCCTTCATCTTTTACTCTGGGTGCAGAGCACAGCATCTGCTAAGGGTCTGTCTCTAGACGGGGGCCCGAAGGGAGCAGTAAACCTTAAACACTGTCACCGCTGGAGTCCGCCTCTGCGGTGAATGTCTTCTAACTGTCGTTTTCAAACGTTACCTGTCCTGGGAGAAGAAGTCGGTGACACAGGCCTCGCAGGTGGGGTCAGCCCAGGGAGAACTGTAGTGGTGGGAAACGTTGGGGGGCTGCGTCCTGTGCTCCGTGGGGCGACCATAAGAATGGAGCTTTGCTCCACCGTGGCTGGGCTGGACTCCAGGCTGGCAGAGGGCAGACTAGGGGAAGGCATTAGAACCTGCGGGGTAAGTTAACAAGGGTATATATCGTGATGAAAAATGTTCCTTTGGGTTGGACAACACAAATATGGGCAATGGGTTATTTGGGCCCACCCTCTCCAAATTCGTGCACTGAAATCCTAACCCCCACGGGATGGTTTTTAGGTGACGGGGAGGCAGAGTAGGTGGTCAGGACGTGGGGGTGAGAGCCCTCATGAACAGAATCAGTGCCTTCATTACATACAAGAAGACAGAGCTCCGTCGTGGTGCAGGCTCCTAAAGAGCGCACTCAACAAGCTGAGGCAGGAGGATTGCTGCTTTTGAGGTGAACTTCGGCTACATAGCAAGACCTTGTCCCAACGAAAGAGAAAATGAGAGTGGGGAAGGGGGGGGAGGATAAACAGAAGAGAAGGAAGAGAAGAAAGGAGAAAGAAGAGGCAAGGAGGAAGGGAGAGGGTAAGAGGAAGGAAGGGCTGACATGCCCCTCATCCTCTACAAGTCTGGTCTCGACTGGTTTTCTATAGACACTCTGTTCAGTGGCGCTGTGGCATGAAAAATGCTGCTCTGCTACAGTCTTTGCATGGAGGGATGTGTTTATTCCTCTGAAGTGCACACTGGAAGTGTGACTGCTGGGTCACGTGCTGGGGCGATGCCGTGGATTACTGTTTTAGCGCTCAGAACAGCAAGCCAGATTTCCCGGGCATCTGCATCGCTGTGCACTACACCGGCCATGTACAAGCACTGCACCGTCTCCTCCGACTGACACTTCCCTAGTTGGGCTTTGTTGTTGCTGCTGCTGCTGCTGCTGCTGCTGCTGCTGCTGCTGCACTACTCAGGCCTATAGACCTTGGACTACTCTCTGCCCAGTCCTGGTTTTATTTTTTTTGTATTTTATTCTAGCCATCCTAATAGCATTACGTTTTGGATTCAACTTCTTTCACTTGCTTTATTTAACCTGAGTGCTGAGATTACAGGCACGTACCACCACTCGTCCTTACCAATTTTTAAATCAGGTTGTTTCCTTGTTATTGAGCTATAAGATTTATTTGCATTTCTGCATATAATGTTATGATAAATGATTTGCAAATATTTTACTCTATTCTATAGGTTGTCTTCTCTTTCCTGATGTTGTTATTTGGGATGCAAAAGTATTTAATTCTGATGAAGTCAATTTATCCTTTTTTAAATTTTTACTAAGTTGTTTGTTTTGAGACAAGATTCTCTAAGTAGCTCTGGCTGTCCTGAAACTCACAATGTAGACTAGGCTGGTCTGGAACTCACAGAGATCCTCCTGCCTCTGCCTTCTGAATTCTGAGATTAAAGATGCATAACATCATTTTTGCCAAATTTTGATGCCCTGTACAAAAATAATTATCTAAACCTAGTTACTAAGGTTTAGTATTGTTTTAACTCTTATTGTTTAGGTCTTTAGCACATTTGTAGTTCTTTTTTTATATAAAGTGTAAAATAAGAAAGCTACAACTCATTCTTTTGCATGTATTATTGGGGCTTTGAAAATGGCACCCCAAACCAAATGCTTCAAGCCAAGTTTCTCTCTGGCCTTCTCCTGTACTCCTGCCTGTATCTCATTCTCCCCCAAAGCATGCCACAGAAGCTGGAAGTCCTTTTTCCCAGTGTGTCAAGAATCTTACATACTATTTTCCTTTTTAAAATTCTTAAAGGAGTCAAGGAGGTATCTCGGTTGAGAGAAAGCTCACCTAGCATGGTCAAGGCCCTGAGTTGTAGCTAAAACCAGCATAAACCAGGAGAGCCCCGGGATCCCAGTGCTCAGGAGGCAGAGGCAGGCAAATCTCTGTGAGCTCACAGCCAGCGACCCTGCCTGCAAATAATTAGATAAATAAAATAAAAACAGGACTTCTGCAATTCCCCGGTGCCCTCCATTCACTTCTTTCTGACCGCCTTCAGATCATTGCTAAGCTCCCGGATTCTTACATTCTCTTCAAGTCCGAGCGATCTCTGGGTTCTCCGGCGTTCTGCCCTCACAGGATTTCCTTCCAGTACCACTCAGGCCTTCTCCCTACTTTTGCCGTCTCTAGTCTCCCCCATGATTCTTTCCCCTCCAGTGCCCCCTCCCTGCACACTGTTTAAAGGGTTGGAGATTCATTCCAGGGTCCCGGGGACAAATGTTCTACCACTGAGTCATACCCTATTAGTGTTTCTTTCTTTCTTTTTTGAGTTGGATCTCAGAACATGTTAAGGATGGCCTTGACCTCCACTCATGGTCCTCCTGCCTCCACCTCCTGGGTAGTTGAGACTACTTGGGAATGAGACCCTCGTTCTTTTACCACCAGGGTTTTTCATGGAAAGGTCTGTGGTTCTTCCTACCCATCAGCTTCACCTATCTCTGGTACACATAACTAACCAGTAGGGCTGACTGTGGTACAGGAAAACTTGACATCTGTCTACTACGGGAAATTTTCAAAGCCTCTGTGTGTGTGTGTCCATACAGGCTGGTTCCAGGGCCTTCCATGAAGTCTTCGTTAACATTAATTAGCCATAGAGGATCTCTAGGGAGAAGGGCTCTTAGGTAGATGACCTGGGAAGGGGAAGCTCTGTGTTCTTTTCAAACTTCCTACTTAGGGAAGCATGCCTCTGCCTTCTGAATTCTGAGATTAAAGAACGCTATTATGTTACTGGTTAGACTGTGAAAGACATTCATCCTCAGGCATCAACCTGAGTCAGTGTCCTTAGGAGAAACCTCCTCAGGTTCCTCAGCTCTGTGTTCTTTTCAGACTGCCTGCTAAGGGGAGCTCGGCAAAAGAACGCTGTTCTGTTTCCCGTTGGGCTCTGACATCCATCTTCCTGTTCCTCTAGCCTGAAGACTCTGGCAGAGCTTTGCCATGTGCTACTTTGCCTGCCCACCTAAGCATGTGCTGTGGGATGTCTTTCTGTATGCTGTGAATACATGTTGTTCCCATTGGTTAATAAATAAGCTGCTTTGGCCTATGGCAAGGTAGCTTAGAGGCAGGCGGGAAATCCAAGGAGAGAGACAGGAAAGAGAAAGACAGAGATGCCAGCCACTGCCTAAGGAGCAGCCAGATGCCAGCAGACGGGTTATGCCATGGTCACGTGGCAACTTATAGATAAATAGAAATGGGTTAAGTTGTAAGAGCTAGCTAGCAAGAAGCCTTCCGTGGGCCATAGAGTTTGTAATTAATATTAAGCCTCCGAGTGATTAATTTTTAAGTGTTTGTGGGACTGCAGGTGAGAAAGATTTGTCCCCCCGACTGTGGGTCAGACGGGACACAGGAAATCTTTCGACTGCAAGCACGTCTCCAGCACACCCACCTCTTTTCCAGAGCTATTGCTGGGTTGTTCTTGGAGCTGTAAAGTCTCTCTGTCCATCCCCTCTCCTGCAGGTAATATGGTCCCAGAGGGGGGCCACACACTGCTTTCTGCTGAGTGCCCGGGGGTAGGGGACCAAGTGGACTCATTCAGGGCCCCCAGCTGCTGCTGGTCCAGTGGCTGGGGTGTGGGGTCCTTCTGCTTCTCTGTGGAAGCAGCGGAGCTGTCTTCTGCAGCTGAGACATTGAAACCTCCCTCACTGCCGGGCAGCAGGCTCCAGTCGGGGTACTCAGCGCCGCCTCTGGGGTCCTGCTGGTTGGAGGGCCGCAGGAGGCCCTGCTCCAGTTCCTTGTAGTCATCGGAGTACTCGGCAGTCTCCTCCGGCCCCCCATCTTTGCCTAGAAAGGGCAAGTCCTTCCTGAGGTCCTCAAGGGAGTCTCCCCAAGCACCAGAGGGGGAACCCCTGCCCAGCATCATGTCTCCGTAGTCCAGCAGCTGCTCGGGCTTCTGGACAGGTCTGCGCACGAAAGTGAGGTAAGACCGGATGGGGCCTGTGGTCCTGGGCTCACAGTTCTCCTGGTGCACGCAGTTCACCAGGTAGCAGCTGCCCTCAAACCACCAGGCCAGGTCGCAGCTGGGCAGGTCACAGCAAGCTGCCGTGCAGTCTCCCACGGAGAAGGTTTGAGATGCCCGCATGATTCTGATAGTTTCCAGGTTAGGCGAGATGATGGCGTTGGAATAAGTCCTCCCCTCGCTGCACTGCTGGCCCCTGCCACCTGAAGACCAGAGAGATGCCAAAAGCCAAATTGGTAAGCAGACAAACTTCAAAAGAAGAAATACAAATGGCCAATAAATACTGGAGAAAAATATCCAAGCTGTATAGTACACCAGTAACCCCCCACACACACTTTGGAGGTAGAGACAGGAGGTTCAAGAGTTCAAGTTCATCCATGAGAGCTGGAGGCCAGCCTAGGCGAACTACATGGGACCTGGCCTTAAGAAACTAAACAGAACTGAAGTCCATATGCAGAATCTAGATTTGAAGATATAGGACATATATGCACACACTCATGCCATGAAAGCAGAAAGGAAACTGCAGGAAGAGGAAGATTCTGAAAGGAGGGGCAGGAGGGGATAACGCAGGGAATTACCACAGCCCGCCCTGCTTTCCCTACATTTACATGTATATACATGTGAACATACCATATGAAAGGAAAAGCACAGTTTGGAGGGAGGAGGGATGGGAGAGGAAACTGGGCTACAACAATGATATATGTTTGTGAAATGTCACAATGAAGCCTTTTTAAAAATGATTTCTATTTCTTTGTGTGTGTGCGTGCACACACACATGTACCATGAAGGTCAGAAGACAACCTATGAGAGTTGGCTCTCTTCTACCATGTAGGTCTCAGGGAATGAAGGGAATGAACTTCCTAGGTTATTGGGTTTGATAGCAAGTTCCCCCTCAACCTGCTCAGCCATCTTGCTGGCCTAAATCCTATTGTTTCGTACTAAAAATGTAATATATATATATATATATATATATATATATATATATATATATATATATATATATATATGTGTGTGTGTGTGTGTGTGTGTGTGTAATGCATACATACACACATATGTGTGTAATATATATTATTATACATACATGCACACATATGTATATATGCACATTCCAGGGAAGCCGTTCGAGAAAACCAGAGGCTCCTCCATCCCTGGCTATGCAGCCAGCCATCAACACTCCCTATTGAAGGGTCCACTGCACTATGCATCCATCCATCACACTTCTCATCCACACAGTCACCTGTCTTTCCACCAGTTCATCCATTCTTCACTCATTCATCCACCCACGCACTCACTTGTCCACTCATCCCTCTATTCTCTTATCCACCCATTTCTCTATTCTCTTATCCACCCATCCCTCTATTCTCTTATCCACCCATCCCTCTATTCTCTTATCCACCCATTTCTCTATTCTCTTATCCACCCATCCCTCTATTCACTTATCCACCCATCCCTCTATTCTCTTATCCACCCATTCCTCTATTCTCTTATCCACTCATCTCTATTCTCTTATCCACTCTTCCCGCTGTTCTCCTATCCACCCATCCCTCTATTCCTCTACCTTTCTATCCACATATATTCTTTTCACTAGTCATGTACCTTTTCACCTATACATTCCAACTCTTCATATTTATAATTCCACTCTTCTCTACTTGTCTCCTTTTTATGTCATTTACAATAGCCCTTGTGTAAAAAAATAGTTACAGAAGTAACAGAAAAGTACTGTGTCTTTGTTTTGTTGATGTTGTTAATACATTTTTTTTTTTTTATCTCAGGCTATTTGCTGATAGATCTTCTGAAAGGAAAATGTCTAAGGAGAAAAATACTTGTCCTCAGTACAAGTTTTTGTTTGTTTGTTTTGAGATGGATCTCACTGTGTAGTCCTAGCTAACCTGGAACTCAGAGATCCATCTACCTCTGCTTCCCAAGAACGGGGTTAAAGGCATGCACCACTACGCCTTGTTTTACATCCCACTAGTCTTAGTCAGATTTTCAATAATGAATTATCAATCTTTCTACAGAGTCACTACAGTAGGCATTGGCATGGACAGCATGGAGTGTGGTCTGTTAGTTTTTGTGACGAAATAATAAAAGCAAACCTCAATAGCACTGAATTTCCTTCATAGTAAGGGCTTACTGTTGAATTTATTTTAATAAATGTTGTTCTAGTCACAAGAGGGCTGTCAGACATCGTTTCTGACAGTGACCGTGTGAAAATAGCTCTATCGTACATAGGAATCACCTTTAAGCTACCTGTACACCACATCACTGTAATGGGTAGAGTTTTAGTAGTGCAATGTTAGCATGATGGTAGCTTGGTAGTCTCATAACACAATTCCAGAGCCAGGAAGATTGCTCAGTGGGTAAAGACATGTGCTGCCAAGACTCATGACCTGGACCCACATGGTAGCAGAAGAAAACTGATCCCTACATGCTGACCTCCACACATATGCCACAACACACACACACACACACACACACACACACACACACACACACGCACACACACACACACACACACACGATAAATGAGTAAATAATGAGTAAATGCAACATAATGCCAAACATCAGCTCTGTGGAAAGACTATTTCATCCAGTGTAATGAGAATTAGATATACCACGTATGTTCTTTTTCCAATTAAAAAAGGCAACACATGAAAGCAGAGATGGTATTTTCTCAAACACAAATCCAGTTTTTAAATCACATGAATAGTTTTGGTCTATTATTTTTTAGAGAAAAGCTAGATCTCAGACATGGAGAAAACACTAATTTACTACAGCTGAACACAACAAAACAGCACCTCTTACGAAGCTCAAGAGAGGATGGGGTGAAGCTGAGATAAGGTAACTCCCAACCTCGCCAACACACAGTATTTTTATGGCTACCATTGCATCTCTCCATAACTTATATGAAGACCTGAGCCAGAAGTTTCTCCCTGACCCACATGGTCAGATGTGCCTTCCTTCCCTTGAGGACACGTGTCCAGCAGCAAGTGAATCTGAGCAAAATCGTGTTTAATGCCTGGCCCTGGCCACCCACGGGAGGTGGCCTTTACAACTCTCCCAGGAAACAATGATGTCTCCTGGTAATGGTTTCCTACCTGCAATGGCGGCCAGCAGCAGCAATGAAGACAGTGCTCCTGTTGGGGACACCATTCTGCCTCACACAGGATGACGCTGCCAGGGCAGTGGATTTGGAGCAGGCTCCCTTTGGCGGTGGATGAGCCAGATGTAGCCTCTAGAACTTCAAAGAAAACAAAACAGAGACAAGGAAGAAGAAAAGAGCAGATAAATGTGGAAACACATTGTTCCTATCATTTATTCCCGTTAACAGAAAAACTGTCCTGTTCACGAAGTGAAGTCATAGCCAAAGCAGCTATTCTCCAGAGAAATTTGTTAAAATAGCTAGGAGAGTTAGTTCCTAAGAAGATACAAAAAAGGCCAGACATATTGGTACATACCTTTAATTCTAA